ACATGATTCTTTGCAATCTCGGTGGTGCATCTGTTATTGGCTTTTTAAATATCGTCTCAAGAGGCTTATGGTCAGATTCGATCGTTAAATCTTTGCAACCCCAAATGTACATGTGAAATTTTTTACATGCAACTAGAATGGCGTTTGCCTCTTTTTATAATTGGCTATAGCCCTGTTCGGTTTTTGTGAACGATTTTGCACAGTAAGCGATCGGCTTCTGTTTTTGTATTAGTACTCCGCCACATGCATAACTACTGGCATCTACTGACAGCAAAATTGGCGCTTTAGTGTCATAATACCCTAATACTGGTGGATTCTTTAGCAGATTTTTCAATTTATTGAATGCTTCATTGTGTTGCGTATCCCATACCCACTCAACATCTTTTCGCAATAATTGTCTTAGTGGTTGGGTGATATCTGCCAAATTTTTTATAAATTTCGACACGTATGTTACCATACCCAAGAATCTTTGCAACTCTTTCACGTTTTCCGGTTGCTTAATTTTCGTTATAGTTTCTATTTTTTCGGGATCAAGTTTTACACCTTCAGCGGAGACTATATGTCCTAGAAACTTTACTTCTTGTGTATTAAAAACGCATTTTTCTTTGTTCAGCTTAAGGCCTGCTTTTTTGAATTTGTCAATTTGAGCCGTGAATGCGCGCTGTAATTTCTTCTAACGTATTAAGTGGATAATAACGTCTTTTGAGATTTTTATTTATCACCGATGGATCTAAACAGAGTCTAATTTTATTATTTTTTCTTACTACCACCATGGGTGACACAGCCGGTGTAGGCTTTGTTATGGGTTTAATTATTTTTTGCGCAACCATACTATCAAGCTCCTCTTTAACCTGCTGTCTAATCGTGTGTGGGATTTTTCGTGCAGGGCATATGCTTAGTTTCGGATTTTCTATTAAGTCTATGTCGTTTATGTATTGCTTAAGGCAACCAATTCCTTCAAATAAGTCTTCATCAATAGTTAAGGTTTCAATCCACTTTACTAATTTTAATTTTTCACATGTTGACTTACCAAGCACTGCTGAGACATCTGCTTTGACGACTAAGTATTTTATGGGTACTTCTTGTTTTTTAATAAGCGTGTCTATGACCACTTCACCCAGTACGGGGATTTTATGGTTTGAAAACGATGTTAAGCACTTTGTTGACGTTGGACTGATGTGAGCGTCTATATTCTTTATTGTTTCGTAGTTTAAAACGTTGCACTGACTACCTGTGTCAAGCTTGAACTTTACCATTACGTTTTTGGCCAGCGTAGCTTTTTCATACCAATCTTCGACGTCCACACTGTCTAATTCCGCACCTACCGTAGACACTACAAAACTGTAATAGTCGCCTTCACGGTCTTCGACCAGTTCGTTGACCGTTTTGCTTTTGCAACATTTGGTTAGATGGCCTTTCCTTTTACATTTCTGGCAAATCTTTTTAAAGGCCGGACAATTACGACGGCCGTGCGTGGTATCACACCTATTGCAGTGAAAGGTTTCATCTTTTTTGTTAGGTTCTTTGTTGTCTTTTTTTAGTTTGCTTTTTGTTCCACGTAACTGCGTCAACTGTAGCCGCTTGTTTCATTGTTGTTACCTGCATCTTGACTTGCTCTGCAGAGTGACAAATATCTATGGCTTTTTGCAAGGTTAATTTGCCTTCCGCTAGTAGTTTTTCCCTTGTTGTGTCATTTATTATACCCACTACTATTCTGTCGCGAATTAAGGTGTCTTCTAACGTTCCGTAACCACAGTTTTTAATTTTGCTTCCATGATCTGTGACGAATTCATCAAATGTTTGACACTCCTTTTGTACGATTGTATTGAATACGTATCTTTCATACGTTTCGTTGATTTTGGGCGTAAAATATTCCGTAAATCGCTTTTTGATTGTGCTGACGCTTTCTTTTTCATTTTCTGTTAAGTTGAAAGTATTGTAAATTACTGCTGCGTCCTTTCCTACAGACGCCATGAATACTGCGACCTGAACTTCTGGTTTTTTAGTATCCAATTCTGTCGCGATGGAGTACCAGTCGAATTGTTGAAGCCACAATTTCCACTCGTTTGCCACATTTTGATAATTGTTTATGACAAAACTTTTTGGTGGTCTAATATTGTGGTCAGGTTTTCCCTATTAGTTGCTGGGTCTGGCATTTTTCCGTTTTAATTCGGGTTTCGGCACCATGTAATGTACCTTAGCTTAGGTACAAATTACTTTATTAAATAAAAGA